CTCCAGTCTGGGCGACCGAGTGAGACTCCAACTCAAAAAAAAAAAAAAAGACGTAAAAAGAAAATCTTGCCATTTGCAACAACATGGATGAACCTCAAGGACATATGCTTAGTGAAATAAGCCAGACCAAGAAAGACAAATATTGCATGATCCCACTTATACGTGGAATCTAAAAAAAAAAAAGTCAAGCCCATAGAAAGTAGAATGGTGGTCACCAGGGATCGGGGGCAGGGGCCATGAGGAAATGATGGTCAAAGGACACAAAGTTTCAGATATAAGGTGCAGACTACAGTTAATAATATATTGCACATTTGAAATTTGCTAAAAGAGTAGATCTTAAGAATTCTTACAACAAAAAAAGGAACCATGTGAGATGATAGGTATGTTAATTAGCTTGATTGTGGTAATCATTCCATAATATATATATCAAAACATCACGGTGTGTACCTTTAATATTTATTTGATATATCAATTATACCTCAATAAAGCTGGGGTAAAATATTCATAGCTTAAAAAAATAATTTTCTAACCTCAGTAAATCCAGTTCCCCATAATGAGCCAAAATTTCTAACGATCCAATTCTGAACCATGATTTTGCAGCACGCAGTACTACTGCACCTTAAAAAGAAACATGTATTTTAGCATAAAACTAGTTTAAGATATGAGAACATCTCAAAATAAATTTTTCTTAAAAATAAAATTATTTTAATAACCAAGAATATAATCCCTGAATTTATCAGAAAAACAACTAATTTATACCCATAAAGGATCAAGGGTTTTTCTCCATTCCTTTAAGCCTGAATCAGAATGTCCTGAACTACAACACTTGCAGAGACAGCAAGGCTCCAATCCAGCTAAAGGCTAAGAGGTTAGGCTCCAAAGTCCAGACTCCCACTGTCTCACCAATTGTGACCTCTTCCTTTTACCTCATGCTGGAAAAAGGAATTGATAAATCATTTTGCATAGGCCTTAACACAATTACAATTAGTAAACAGAATTTATGTTTCTTTCTTATAAGAAATGCTGTACTTACATGTATCTAGATGTCAAGATGAAGTCTATCCCAGGGTGATGAAGCCCCTGCCCTACTGGTGCTGTCCAAGAGCCTACCACACTCACTGCTACCCATTGGCACTTTGCTGGTGCTCCCCTCTTCCACATATCCCACTCCTTCCTCTCTCCTACTGAAATCCTACCTAACCTTATGCTCAAGATCAATTCCCACCTCCTCTATAAAACTAAACTGATCCCTCCTCCTTTTACCGGCCTCTGATTTTTTTTTATTGTTCATTTGTTCCATATGTTTAAGTCTTCTATCCACAAAGACTATGAGTTTCTTAAGATCAAGGACTATCCAGGTGCAGTGGCTTACGCCTGCAATCCCAGCAATTTGGGAAGCCAAGGTGAGAAGATTGCCTGAGCCCATAGGTTCGAGACCAGCCTGGGCAACTTGGCCAGACCTTGTCCCTACAATAAATCAAAAAATTAGCTGGGCATGGTGAGGCACACCTGTAGTTCCAGCTACTTGGAAGGCTGAAGTGGAAGGATCACCTGTGCCCAGTAGGTCAAGGCTGTGGTGGCTATGAGCGTGCCACTGCACTCCAGCCTAAGTGACAGAGTGAGACTCCAACTCAAAGAAGAAGACCAAGGACTATCAGGTACTTAATACTCCAGGAGCCCCTAGAGTTCAACCCAATGGTAGACACACAAAAGGGCCAATTAATAGCTGTAAGGTTGATGAAATTATCCACACATACAATTATTCACAATACTAATGTGGATATTTATTTTCACGTGTCTTTTTCTGAGCAACAAAGTGTAGTCACTTAAAAAAGAAATAAGAGCTAAGTAAATTATTCTAAATGTTTACTACATGAATAGTCATTAAATCACATTCATGAATGTTAGCACCAAAAGACAGGTATCATCTAGTCTAACCTCATTTTAGATGGAGAAACTGAGGTCCAGAATGTCTAAGCAACTTGCCCAAGTCACAAAGTTAGTTCCTACAGAGCCAGTTCTAGGCTCCATATTTTCTTTTTTATCTAGCACTATGCTCACTGTACTACAGTGACTCCTGTGACAATGCTGGGGTAAAAGCTCAATTGAAATATATATATATATATATATATATATATATGTTAACACCTAGATATGGAAATTCTACTAATGGCCTAATATAAGAAATACTTGGGACTATTTAAGTCATTAAGATTGTGACTCAGAATTCAAATAAACATACATACATATATATGTTTCACAGACACAAAAGTTACTAATGCTATACCAGTCATACTAACAGTCTGTGACTGGAATTTCCAATCACCATAAGCAAAAAACTTTATTTATTACAGACCCAAATGCAATGGTATCATTTTATCCAGAGGAAATTAAAGGGGAGAGAGAGATACTATAAAGATAAATAACCCTTAATTCATTTAAGCATGAATACTTTTGGGGGACTGTTTTTTATTAAAAAATCTTATAAAAACGTATTGCTATGGTCTGAAAATTTTCATCCCCCCAAAATTCTTATGTTGAAATCTAATCACCAAGGCAACGGTATTAGAAAGTGAGGTCTTTGAGAGGTGATTTACATCATGAGGACTCTGCCTTGATGAAGGGATTAGGGTCTTTGTAAAAGATGCCCCAGAGAGCTGCCTATCTGCTTCTGCCATGTTGAGGACACAGCAAGAGGGCACCATTTATGAAGCAGACAGCCATTGCCAGACACTGCACCTGCTGGTGTTTTGATGTTGGACTTCCTGACCTCCCCAACTGTAAGCAATGGACTTCTGTTGTTTACAACTTAGCCGGTCTAAGGTGTTGTGTTATAGCAGTCTGAATGGACTAAGACACATATTATGCCCAAAGAATAAAGAACATACAACGTACTCTTGGTGAATCATCGTGAATATCAGAAAGAATGCTGTTCCATGACATAGTGATGTCCATAGGTCCCACAAAAGTTCATAGGGCTGCCAACAGTTCTCAACAGCTCTGCTTTTTAATCCCTTAAATATGCTTTTATTGATTTTCAGTCTACTCCACTCCCCAGAGATTTAGAGTCAGGTCTTACTCGCTCTCTTTTTGCTGCTCTAAGTATGCCTTTACCACATTCTTTCTCATCCCCTTTCTAACTTTTTTATTTCTAAACTATCAAAGGCTAAAAAAAAAGTTAACTGCGCTTACTGGAAGTAAACAAAAATTAAGAGCAATCAGGCTCTGAGGTAACGTTGTAACATTTTGCTGGCTGTTCATACATATTTTTTGTTCACTTCCCAGATGTTTGCTGTTTGAAATGGATGAATTTGTCATATAAGGATCGTCAGTAAGGATATTCCATCATAATTCTGTAATGCTGAAATTACATCCTGAAGGATCATGGGTTATTTTTTAAAAAGACTGCAAAAATATCCAATATCTTTTATTCTTCAAGAACTTAGTCTAGTTTTATGTAAGTAATCTAAAAATTGGTTGTTACCTCTTTCTTTTGTAATATTTCCATTGTAAAACTGATCTCGCCACACTCCATCATCACTTACAACCAGACTGAAACATAAGAGAATCAAAGTTACACTTCACTATCAAGCAATCATGAAGTAACTGAAACGACAAGAAACTAAGAAATGTTGCTATCAGAGATTTATCTGCTCAATTTACTGACACATTTCTGATGATAACATGATGCAGTCCTGAAAGTTAGCTTCAAGGAAACAGGAATTACCTTGCCGCTCTGCTAGTTGGGATTCCAAGATAGTGCATAGCCTCACTACACAAAAATTCTCTCACTGAGGAACGAAGTACAGCTCTCCCATCCCCATTTCTATAGGAAATAAAATTTAAAAGATTTTCATTTGTAATTAAGACAACATCACTTTCATACAGATGACTAAAAAAAATTAATGAACTGTACCGGGAGTATGGAGTCTTTCCTGAGCCTTTTAATTGGAGCTCCCACTTTTCACCCTGCCTTTAAAAAAAGAAATCTATGTGTTAGAAGATTCATGTTAATATTAAGGGGAAAAAACTATTATACAAGAAAACATGTGATACCTGTTCATGTAAATTCCAATAAGATGGGCTCTTCCATCCCCAAGCTGATCTGCCCATATCCCAAACTAAAGAGAACAGAGAAAATTATTGCTGATCAATCTTTATAGTTTTATAGAAATTTTTATAGCCAAGGCCATTTTGCCAAAATTGAGAATGAAGGGGAATTATAATAACAACTAGAATAAACGTGACAACAAAATTCAATAAATAAAATATAAGTGAAATTCGCTTAAAATATAAATTTAAAACATAATTCATTCCTTCATTATTTTATCGCTGAACTCATTTTTTTTCAGGTGTTGAACATCTAAAACTTATCTATTTAATTAAAGAATATAAACTAGGAAAAATATAGGTAGAAAATGTACCTATATTATATATTTGCAATATAAAATCATGAATACACTTGTACCTGAAAACACTACATTTGAACTTGTGTGATTAACTGTTTCCACATTTTTCTGTTAAAATTTATTTATGGCTTTCAATTTCCAGCTATGCCACTTACTAGCTGTAGAAACTTGTTTGAATTACCTGATCTCACTGAGACTGACCTTTCATTTCTGTAAAATGGAATAACCCTTGCTGGGTTGTTGTAAGAATGAACAGCAATGTATGTAAAGTGCCTCGTACTATGTCCAACATCGGCAAGTGTCCAAAAGACGGCAGTTATTATTATTGTACTGTATTGCCAACAATCATTTGCTAGCCTAGACATCACTTCGTTCTCACTGTAGATGTTACTTCCACCAGAAAGTCCTCTCTGACTTTCCAGGACTAGGAGGGTGGGTTTGTAAGCTCCCAGAACTCCTATACTTACCCTTATCACAACCTTGATGTCACTGGAATTCATTTGTTCACCTATCACCTCTCTTAGAGTATCAGCAATCTGAGGGAAGGGGGAAGGTCTCATTCACCATTATAGCTCCTAGCACATAAAAGGAGTTCTATAAACAGCTCTGGCATATTTAAATAATGCTTAATCTCCAGAAGAACAATATGAAATTGAGAAAAATCTATCTAGTATTTTAATTTTTCACCTTAACCAAGGACAGACTACCACTAGCTAATTTTAGTACAAGTCTGAAAGGTGCTCTCAGCATACTCTGGAGAGTTCTAAGTCCACAATAAGGATATTCTGTAATATGGGAGGGAAGTAGAAAGAAAGATGAATCCAGGAGTGAAATTGGGGGAAATTAGAAAGCTGGTTTTCCACCAATAAAAGAGAAATAAATCATTTACAGCACTGTTCATTCAAAATGGCAAAGTCATCCTTAAAAATAAATAATTTATACCATATTTTCAGGTCAGGGAAAAGCACGACATGAATGTGAAATTGGTGAGAAAAAAAAATAGTCTAATGTATATTACCCAAAATAAGACTATGAAAAAGAATGGCTTAATGAAACTTTGCAGGGCTTAAGGTTTGTATTTGTACTTTAACTGTACATAGGAGCACCAGCATAAAATGCTTTCAAATAAATTAAACCCATATGGAAATGGCTTTTTGAATCCCTGTATTTGGGCACTAGAAAAGACCGTAAGGATCATTTAGTCCAAAATTTTCAAAACTGAGAGACATTATTCAACAAAACACTAATAGTTATCTATTATAAACAAAACAACAAAAAATCCTGCAGTCACATGTGTTTAGAAAATGGTGTGTCAAATAAAATTAGGCAGTTTTCTTTGCTGTAGCATGTCTCATAACTGGAATGATCCGGATCAAGCCTCTCACATTACAGATCAAGAAACTGAGGTTCAAGTTTATCACAAAGGACCCTCAAAGTCCTTCTAATGGCTTATAGCACTTTGCTTCTTAGCCTAACGGACTCTGAAGAAGAAAAGAAATAACCCAACAAACCAGAGCTTGATGTTATAATAATTATAATAGTTGACATGTTAAGCACTTCTCATATATTTTCTAATTTAATCCTTATACCAGTCCTATTATACTTTACTATTAATATTTGTCTTAAAATTATTCCCGAGTAAATCAGCATTACTAAAAATAGTCCAGAGTGTTAAATTAATCAAGAAAGTGACAGAAATTTTAACAATTGGTCCTATGTTCCCATTTTCTTTTTTTAAAATTAGTCAGATACCATGCCCTGAACTTGCTTAAACATCTTGGTTTATTTCTAGAAGGTGCTTTAATTGCATGCTGATTGCTGCAGCATTCAGAATATAATATCCCAATGAATCTTGATTGACCGCCTTTCTAGTAGTCCTACAACTTTGTTCTATGGCTATCCTGGCAAAATTACAATCTATTTGTCCTTCTGAGGTTTTTATATTGACACATTGTGCTGCTCGATTTTGCCTAAATCTTTTGTTAAAACTGCATCAAATGAGTTCTCCAGCAATAACTCATCTGTGCTACTGAAGTTTTCTCAATTCCATTAAAACTTAGGCTCTAGCTTTATCACAGCAAGAACTCACATCAGCTAATCTATAAACATCTTATGATGACACACTTTGCTAGAAACATCTTTCTGAAGTCTCAGTATGCTAATATTAGAGAAATTAATGTAACATAATGTCCTTAGTAGGACAGCTTTTCCACCAATTATTATATTTGCATAAGGGACATGATACTGTTGCTACCCTTACCTGGTGGCCACCATACCGGTGAGCCAGTGGAATGGATCCAAGCACTACCTTTTCTCCACTTACAAGCTGGATAAAATCATCTGTTTTTGAGACAGATAAATCAAGATCCAAAAGGTCTTCTAGAACTTCCTGAGTCAGGAAAACAAAATTTTACAAATCTAAGTAATCTTTTAGTAAGTTTTAAGAATAGTTACTTAATGGATGAAAATTAAAACAATAAGCCTCTTCTGAAAATACATTAGTATTTTTTCACAATATATGTACTATATTTCTATGATTATTCATGCTATTTTGGAAAAATTAATTCTATTAGATGATTCTAAAAATTTTGTGGATTTCTTATGAAACATAGTAAAATAATATTTTTCCTAACATGTATTAAGGAATTAGAAAAAAGCAAATGTCATATTTTTATCCCAAATGCATTTACATCATGAGAGAATAATTTAGAATTTGTTATTAGAGACCATTAGATATGGGCTATCTAAGATAAGAATATAACTCATTTCCCGATTTTTCACAAAAGTAGATTTTTCTTATAAGATAACTTTACAATGAAACTGAGTACTATGCTCCAGGAATAAGTATGAAAAAGTGATTTCTAAAAATGACACTTTCCAAGTATCTAAATTTTAAACACAAAGATAGCCATTTATAAATAGACTAATAATATTAACTCTGAAAAAATTATCTTTTTAGACAAATATTTTAGGGAGTTAAATATTTGTGTTGTGAAAAAATAAAATCTAACCTTTGAAACTGCTACAAGACGTACTCTTGATTTGAAGGGAGTTGGGAAGGCAATTGAAAAAATAGAGTTTTCCACTTTACGAACATAATTTTCTTTAACAAGATCAACTGGCAACACAGCTGATAAAAAAAAAAAACTCATCTTAATATCCTCATTCGTTGCATATACAGCATGAATATCCATTAGAAAGAGTGCAGTTCTTCAAGAAATTCAACTTAAGTCACTATTTCCCTCATATTTTGTTATCTAAAAGCAATTTTATCATTTTCAACACTATCCAACACTCATGAAGTGTAGTATATGGAAGTGTTCAAGAGAAAAAAAAATGGAAAAAGTTAAAAACAACAAAACACACACCCTGTCTTCCAAGATTTGTACTTACGGGAGACAAATAGTACGTGTGACATATTTATAAATAAGAATATATTAAAATGGAGAAGAACTGTATTACAGCATTAGAATTATAGTATTATTCAATTCAACGGAGCCAAAATATATTAGGCATGTAATCACACGAATTCTGCCCTTAGAAAACTTACAATTAGCCGGACTCGGTGGCTCAGCCTGTAATCCCGCGCCTTTGGGAGGCTGAGGTGAGTGGATTGCCTGAGCCCACGGGTTCGAGACCCGCCTGGGCAACTTGGCGAGATCTCAGCTCCCCAATAAATCCAAAAATCAGCCGAGCATGGTAACACATGCCTGTAATTCCGGCTACTTGGAAGGCTGAGGTGGAAGGATCGCCGGAGCCCAGCAGGTGGAGGCAGCGGTGGCCGGGAGCGGCCACTGCACTCCAGTCTGAGCGACAGAGTGAGACTCCAACTCAAAAAAAAAAAAAAAATCAGCCGGGCTGGTAGCGCACGCCTGTAATTCCGGCTACTTGGAAGGCTGAGACGGAAGGATCCCGGAGCCCAGCAGGTCGAGGCTGCGGTGGCCAGGAGCGGCCACTGCACTCCAGTCTGGGCGACAGAGTGAGACTCCAACTCAAAAAAAAAGAAAACTTACAATTAACTGAAGGAAACAGATACACAGTATGTATCAATAACTAAAACCAGGCAACACATTGTTTACTAGATGTTAAAACTGTTCTGGATCTCACAACATTTGATACATGCCTGCTCACAAGGCTAGAAGTTTAACAATAGCCTCTAAAGAAACAAACTGTTTAATAAAGTCCATGCACTAAAGCACATGTACCTCATTTTAAAAGCTGTAGAGGAAAAGAGAGCTTTGGAATATGCTTTACTCAGAATGTATTTACTCTTATTTTATACACAATACTTAATCTCTTAATCTATTTTCTTAATCCAAAGCAATTAAAACAAAAAAATAGAAGACAGGATGTATTAACTACAAGACTAAGGGACACAAAAACCTAGAGATAGAGATTATATCCCCCATCCTCTGGACAGTGATTATATTGCCAAATTATTTACTAAGCATAGTGGGAATCCAATTAAAATCCAAGTAGAATTTTTTTTTAAGAAATAGACCATTTCAATGTGCAAATCTGGAAAAAATAGAACACATTTTCTTAAGTAAGAGAAACAACAGTTTGCTTATCATATTAAATATTATAAGAACACAATAACTAAAAATAGTTATCCCTAAAAAGATGAGATCAACGGAATTCAATGAAAAGCTTAGAAACAACCCAAAGTTATAAAAGAATCTCTTGTATAGTGAAAATGACATTTTAAATCAGTGGAGAAAGGTAGCAATAGGATGATTTGCTCAGCTCTCTAGAATAACTCCAATTTATTCCATCAGGCCTATGTGAACTAAATATCAGTTATAACAGCAGTAAAAGTAATCTTCAAATGAGTAATAAAAACAGGCAAATATGGACCATACTTAACCTTTTCTACATTTCCTTAAGTACATGGTGATTGAGGCAGTGTCCTGGGGGAATGCGTAGTCAACCAAAAAATGGATGATTTCAGCATTCACGGCAGAAAACCTGACAACATGATTAGGAATGGAAGATGCAACAATATATTTTCTTATTTTCTAGGACAACCTCTGTGTGGAACTAAATTATATAATTAGTGCACTCTCCTTTAATGTGCTCAAACATTTAGTAGAGCGTGTGCAGTGTATAATGTTCCATTAGTAGTTACGATTTTGTACTTGATAGATGTACATTCTGGCAAGACAGCAGCTCAGTCAAAACATGATCACATTGAACAAAAAACTCCTAACTGCTTCAGGAGTTTCCAGCCCTCACCTTTGTGATGCTTTTACCAACTAATCAAAGACTGAAAACCCCAGAGAAAATTCCAAAAGCATATTAATGCTTTATCTTAATATCTCAGGAAATTAGTAACAAAAAAATTAAATTTTTTAGAATTCAGTTTACCCTAAGAATATGAAATACATCAAACCTGAGAATCTCTCAGTGCGACTGTCTGAATCTTTTCTCTCAATCAATGTTCTTACCAGAGTTACCTTGACAATTCATTGGTCATTTATCTTATAACATCAGGATGAACTATTTTACACAGCACTGTGAACCAGGACATGATAATATATATAGTATATTTATAATCTCTTGTTGGCTATAAAACCTAGTCCTATCATAGATAAAAATTTTTGAGTTGGGGGTCTCACTCTGTCACCCAGGCTAGAGGGCAGTGGCACAATCACCACTCAGTGCAACCTCAACCTTCTGGGCTCAGGTGATCCTTCCGCCTCAGCCTCCTGAGTAGCTGGAACTACAATAAGCATACACCACCACATCCGACTATTTTTTTTTTTAATTTTTGTAGATAAAATCCTGTTGTGTTGCCTAGACTGGTCTCAAATCCTTGGGCTCAAGCAATCCTCTTGCCTCAGCCTCCCAAAGTACTAGGAATACAGGCATTGTGCCACTGCACCCTGCCAGATAATATGTTTTGAATAGTACTATCAATATGGCAAGAAAATGTCTTCAGGTATAGCCAACCCTCCAACATTGAAATGACAACTTTGAAAATGCTTTCAATTACACACTTAGTCCATTCTGATCCATCCATATATTGTTTCATTTGTATAAGCACAGTTAAAGAAAAAAAAAAAGACCAAAGTTGTTTTCAGACTGTACAAATAAGTCTGTTATTTAACAGTTACCTGCACAGCTCAGACAATGTTTTTAATTTCCCAGACTCATGTTTGGCCTAGTTGGATCAAAAGAGCTACTTATGAATTCTGCATGTCCTATTGGTAGGTTATTGTTGTTCCTCAAGAGTTTAGCTATGCAATAATGTCAGAAGTCTTAAGGTTTAAGGGATTCATCTGTTTTCACTACTTAGCCTTGCCCTACTACAGCATATATCAGAAACAGGTTTTCTGTTTTAATCTGGCCAAGCAATGTCCAAATAAAAATGCCCTGACTGGCTCACACAACTAATCCCAGCACTGAGCAACATAGTGAGACCTCGTCTCTACAAAAAAACAAAAAACTACCTGGGTGTGGTGGCATGCACCCAGCTATTACAGAGGCTGAGGCAGAAGGACTACCTGAACCTGGGAGTTTGAGGCTGCAGTGAGCTGTAATCCTGCACCTGCACTCTAGCCTAGGTGACACTTCAACTAAAAAAAAAAAAGTGGCCTGACAAAATTGCATAGGGTTATATTTGCCAACTGTGTGAGCTTGAGTATGATACTTAAGATAATTATTTGACAATAAGGTATTTATCTATATCTCAGTTACTTTACCTGTACAAAGGGACAAATAATAAAATCTTAGTCATAGGATTGCCATGTACAATATGAGTGTTTATTGCTACACTCTACTTTGGAAAATTCTACCTGTTGGATGTGTCTTAATATATAAACCTAATGTACATCAAGATAAACCACAGATGCACATTAACTTTTACTTGTAAATTATTTTGCATGGTTTTACATACTATTTTTCTTGAAAAAGCCATAAAATTAGTTTAATAGACTTCTTTATATAGCCTATGATACTTTTATTCAGTAAAATTCTACAGTTTAAAAATAAATATGAAAATGTGTGCAGCTGCAATGCATTATTTAATGCAATACATGTAGTTCAGAAGAACAAGAAAAATAGTGTAACAGAATAGCAGTTAACTACTTTTGGTCAATTTCCTCACAGGAGTGAATTTTTTGAGGACTAAGTACATTTCTTTCATTTCCGTATCTCCAATGCTTACCCTCCATCTCATTGGTTCTGTGTGTTTGAGTGCATGTGTTAAATGTTTAATTATATCATGAATTTCTGTTATAAATACAGTCTCTAAGCACCAGGATACGAATCATCTTGGCTGGGCGCGGTGGCTCACACCTGTAACCCCAGCACTTTCAGAGGCCAAGGCAGCAGGGTCGCTTGAGCCCAGGAGTTCCAGACCAGCCTGGACAACACAGCCAGACTCCCCATCTCTACAAATTTTTTGTTTTAATGAGCCGGGCTCCATGGTGCACTTGTAGTCCCAGCAACTTGGGAGGCTAAAGTGAGAGGATCACTTGAGCCCAAGAGTTCGAGACTGCAGTGAACTATGATCGTGCCACTGTATTCCAGCCCGCGCGACAGAGAGAGACCCTAAGAAAGAAAACAAAAACGGTAGATCTGGCAGGAAAGGTCTTTCCAACCGGCACAGGAGTTCGAGACTGCAGTGAGCTATGATCGTGCCACTGTATTCCAGCCTGGGCGACAGAAAGAGACCCTATCACGCTCTAAGAAAGAAATAAAACAAAAAAACTGTAGATCTGGCTAAGGAAAGGTCTTTCCAACCCATATCGTGTCCCAATCCTGATCCTGTCGTCTCCAACTTCTCTCGGGCGGGGTACCAGCAGGTTCAACATGGCCAAACAATTTCACGCAGCTCACTACACTCAAGAGTGGAACTCACGTAACCAGGTGTGAGCAAGACCGTCAAACTATACCTATAAGGTGTTCAGAGGAGAGAGTCCAAAAGTCGAGAGACCGGGCTAGTTTAGCTTCTGTTTCACAATAGCCCTGGCCGTAGTTGGACCAGTTACTGGAAAGATGCAAAGGGCTGGGCCTTCCTTCAAGAACAGATTGCAAAAGGCTGTCAACCACGGCGTGACAGGTCATCCCCAAGAGAAGCAGACGCGGAAAACGGAGCCTCGGGATTGGGCCGCAGAACGGAAAGCCGGTTTGGGTCATATTTCTGCTTATATATGCGGAACTAAAGAGTTAGCGGCCGCAAGTGTGGCGCATTGTGCCCCTTCTTCCTAACAGCTGATCCCCCAAAGGTACATCTTTGCTGTGACTGCTGGCGCGACCGGGCGGCTCCGGGGAAGGGGTCAGGAGAGCAGCTCGCCGGGTGGGAGGTCCCGTTCGGTGTCCTCCG